CACTCTCATTTTTCTAGCAATTTGCTTAACGAAGTAAACAATCAGTTGATTTAGATTGACAACTATACAATGATCCTACAGAAAACCAATTCACCAGAATTACTCAAAAGTGAACTTATAACTGAACAAAGCATAATGTGATTTGTCCTTATAGGACATAACATGTACAGTAAAACCTGTCTAATCCGAACGCCATTGGGACCGGCTTAAAGCAATCAGATTAGGAGGTGTTCAGAGTGTGACGTTTTGCATTCGCGAGATTCTGGATTCTGAAGAAATGTGAACACATTCTGGGTACATATTTATAGTTCATTCGACTACATAGCTTTATGGCATTTCAAAAATTTGAAAATTAGATGCAAATGAATCTAGTCATGCTGGTAAGCCCTATTATAAGCAAGACCATTCAAGTTTTTTTTTCCCAAAGTTTTGATATCATAACAACATTTGAGCAATTTTGTATGAAACATGTGAAATTTTATGAAAAATGTTCAGATTAGACAGGTTAATTTTTCAAATATGACTGTTCAATGTTCAAATTGAGAGGTGTTCACATTTCAAGTTATTTTTAACATGGGAGTCAATGGGAGGAAAAAATGGGACCGAAAAAAAGTGTTCAGATTGGGAGGTGTTCCGATTAGCCAGGTGTTCAGATATACAGGTTCTACTGTATTGCTTTTTTGATTTCCAGATTATAAATGTGAGAATTTTCAGATTCTCTCATTCAATCAGGTCAGAAAACGCAAACTGAGGTTCATCAAAGACCAAATGGGGGTTTATTTGTTGTGGTGCCTATGCATAACATTTAACAGTACTTATGTTAAAAGGTGCAAAATATAGTGATAACAGTGAAATTGCAAGGAATAAAGTAAAAGATCTTGAAGTCGGCTCTCCCAGCTGTATAGAAATGCCAGAAAACTTCACAATTGATGCCTTATATAGAGAGAAATGTACCGAATTGGTATAAAAATCCTGATAATTGAATCCAAGTTATGTTGCTCTTATGTATGCACAGAAGTAGTGATCCGAGTTCACCTATTAATTAGATACAGTAATTATTCAAGTAAATCAAAAATATTGTTGATGTCAATGTCACCTCTGATGTTCTCCAGAGTGTCTCGTATGAATTGTTGCCAGAATATTTTTTATTTTTGCTTTTTTGTTTGCTGGTATTGTATTGTATATCTCTATTGGCCATATTTAAATGCAGATACAAATTATTGTTTTTCAAAATAAGCTAGAAGTGTACAATTTACAATTAATGTATACATAAGCACATGTCATTGATATAGATTAGCAAATGAGCCCAATTCTCTATTTGCTTGTTATTTTTCTTTGTTAGTAAGTTGGTTGGATTTTTCTCTCTTGTTTGATGCTTTCTTGATTGTTTGTTTGTGTGTTTGTTTGTTTTATTCCCAATAACATCTACTGCTGAATCATTCTCTCAGGAGGCAATTTGATTAGGATTACTTCAACAGTAGAAATGGAGTTCAGAGGGTTAATCTTGGCAAAGTCTGATTTAATTTAGCTTTGTATCACTATTAACTTAGGGAGGTCCTATGAGAATATTCACAATTACAACATCTTGGTTTGAAATTCTAAGTTTCTCTACTACTCACAGTTTCAGTAAAGATTCACTCACTCAGTAAAGATTCACTCATTTATGCTTATTTGTACTATAGGAATATCCGAACACCTCTCTTATATGAACATCTCTCTCTGTGAACACTTTTTTATTGGGCACAATTGTGTTATCTTCCATTGATTCACATATGAAGAAAACTTGAAATGTGAACACCTGCTAATCTGAACACTTTTGGCCAGTCCAAGTAGTGTTCGTATAAGACAGATTTTACTGTATTTCTATTACTGTCACTTCTTATTTTACCCACCAATTTCAAAATTTCTCAAGTAAATCGTAACTGCTTTGTATTATTAATATAAATGGATCAAAGTTGTTGGAGACTGGAAGTTTATTTCTGGGCCCAGCTGCTATAAATTAGATTAGTGCAGAAATATTGAAAAGTAATTAAACTACAAACATCCTTGTGTCAGTGAGTATCATTTAATGTTCCTGGTATTTTGTTGTCATCATCAATCATCAGAAGAGTCATTCAGAATTAGCTTAATCATGTGTCATAGACATTATAGAATACACAGATTATGGATATTTAGATAGTGCCCCTGGTTACAATTTTAATTGTAAAATTTTGAATATGTATGTTTGGTTTCAAGTACTGACAAATGTGGGTTTAGGAGAGGACCAAGGGAGCTGTTTTTTTTAAAAATATTATTAATATTATTTTATTGGGAGATATTAGTGGGGACAATATGCAAATCAACTATAAAACAAATTCCAAATATAGACAACTTTGAAAACTGACATTAGCTTGTACATAATTTGAAGAACAAAGCTATAAATGAATTTTTGGGAAAGTTGGTATTTTACATGTCTTTAGTGAAAATCACCCTAAGCCCATGTAACATACACCAAGGGGGAAAAATCTCACTTACCCATGCGGGTCCCACAAAGTCACATGGGACTTTATAGACTTTGTTAAGTCTATAGAGGTCCCACCATGCCCCATTGGCCCAAGGGAAAGATCAATACCCGGTGATTTCAGCGGGAAGTGGCGTTTCGTTCATTGGATGAGCTGCGCGCGCACGCATAAATGTGATTATCCAATATAATTAGGGGAGGGCTATTTGAAGTAGTTTTTGGTCTCAGGCGCGACCCAGGGCTGTTGTCTTAAGGACATTTCGTTGAAAATGAGCCATTCGGCTGATAATTGGTAAGAGTTTGCGATCTTATAATGTATAACTGTTACTCAGACACATATTTTGACACGATTCTGTTGGAAATAAGCTTTGAACCGAGAGATATTCACGATTGATATGCACATTTTTGATTGTGCCATTGCTTTTCTATTGCACAACCCATGTATTGATAGAAGAAACATTAATAATACAGATTGGTTTACCTTCAATACATGGCAGACACTACATATCGGTCTATTAATACCAGTTTGTGCCTTAAATAGTTTTATATTTCCATCCACGGCCTGGAGCCTGGGTGTGTTTGTCTCTTATGTGTATGCTTGTGCATGGACTTCTAATCACTAGCAGAATTTAACATGATGCAAACTCGACATTATAACTCATGCTGTAACATTTTGACTTCGCTGGAAAACAATAGGAATTATTTTTCTTGCCAATCAATCATGAATCACAATCAAAATTTCAGAATGATCAATCAGGCAATGAAGTTATAACATTATATGATATTCAGCAAGAAGTCCGGTAGAAATACAGAATATTTAAACATCAAAGCTGAAAGTTAAAAGCTAATCTGTCAATTTTCTGTCTGCAAAAGAGCGTCCCAAGAGCGTTTACATTTGACACAATAACAGACTGAGGCCTTGAAATCTAGGATTCCCCAGGAAAATATGACGTCATACTAATTAGCATAAGGATTTCCCTATTGGGGTGGGTCGAGCCTTGTTCGAAAACACAATCCATAAATACATGCTAATTTCTAAGGAGATAGGAAGTGTATAACGTGTTTATCGATTTTGTTTAAAGATTTAATCAATTATCAAATTGTTTAAGTGGATAAAGTGGTCACACTTGCTTCAATTCATAGCGAAATCGACGGATAGAAACTGACCGAATTCCCGATATCCTACCCCGTATTACTGTAGGCTATAAGCACAGTGACCTACAGAGGGCGCTATCACAAACAAGTACTGGACGAACCGATAAATTCCCGGGTATTGTAACGCCCTTGATTGGCCTTTATTGACCGACATTCAGTAGTAAAACAAATATGGAAACAGATTTTAGATTTGTTTCCTACTTAACTTCAAGGGACAACCCATTTATATGGGAATAGAATGTAATATCATTTGAACAAGTTCAAGATCTCCAGCATGCATTTTTCCAATTTAATATGTCAAAATAATTTTGTATTAATTAGCTTTTACTGTTCTTGTCATGGATCCTTACTCCTTTGAGGAGCCTGTGTGAAATATGTCATGTTAGTCATCATGTTTCTTGTCATGATATTAGGGGACTAAAGAAAAAATAAATAGGCATATGAATTGAATGTCTCAGCTAGCAATCATAATTGTTAAGATATACTTTAAATTATCCATATCCATTTCTAGAAAGACAAGGCTTGACTAGGAAATATTTTATGTTTAGGTATTAAAATTGATTAGAATATTTGCAAAAAAGATTTCATTGATATGGAACTAATCGGTTTATGCAAATAGCTAACTCATTACTGAATGAATACAGTCTGTCCAGTTTTCTCCCGATTCTTTAGAGGAAATGGTAACGCTTGAGTGACTATAGAAATCAATTGTCCTTATTATGGATAAATAATTGTGATGTCACAATGTAACCTTGCTTTTTGTGTGATTACCCTGCAGTTTTATCAACTTACTTTTATGGAATGACGGTCACTGGATAGAAATATGTACAGTATATTGTTTGGGTAATAAAAACAAGCCAATTGCCCAACAAAATTTTTACGCACTAATAGCAATTTTTAATCAGCCATTGTAATTTTATTTGGAGATTGAGAGGCTGGTATACATGTTGTATAAAACTGTTTACTATGTGAAAAATACAAAGCTATTTTTATGGATTGATATTTGATCCTGTTGAATATTGTAACTTGAACCAGAACAAACAACATTGTGAATGGATACACACCTTTGAATAATCATTTGAATAGTTTTCTCTAATCCATTGTGACAAGGATTTTTATTAATTACTTTTTCATTTTTGATAGCCATACATTGATTATAGGAAACATGTTCTCTTATTATTGATTCAGTCGTTTATGCAAAGTTCATCTCATGATTTGAAATACAAAAAATTCTAACTTTTTGATTTAAAGGTGGCAGCACCTCATAGAGTCATTTTCCATTTACTTCCATGGGTTATGTTTTTTGCATGATATTAATCATTAGTATTTTTGCTTTCTTTTTCAGAATGATGATACTGCCCTACACATAGCAGCTGCTCTAAAACGCAAGAAAATAGCCAAGATTCTTTGCGAGGCTAAAATCAACTTGAATCTTCGTAATAAGGTACCCAAATCTTCACCCATTGCTAACAAACTTTATGTATGCATCATGATAGTATAACCAACATGTCTGTCGGTAAAGCTAGTTATAAGTTGAACATTTTTGTAAGTAAAACACTTTTGGATATAAATCAAACACTTCCAGCAAGCTCTTCCTCTTGAATCTTCTGCTGATAGTGAAAAAACCCATTAATTCCAAGTCCCTGAATGATAACATCAGCTGTAATAATATTTTTTAATTGATTAATAATTATTTAACTGATGTATTATTGCAGCAAAATGAAACATCCTCAGATGTGGCTCGTAGAAAGGATTACCCAGAAATCCTCCTGATAATCACGACACCCTTCAAGAAATTACGAGGAAGAGATAAAAGAGATGGCGGTAAGAAGTCGCGTCATAAATTGAGGTACCCAAGTGATACTGATGGGTCCAGAGGAGGCGGAGTTTCACAAACTGAAGATGAGGCTGAAGCTGTCAAATCTGACAGTTCTGATGGAAGAAAACCAACTTTTTGTTTCGGTAAATCTAAGAAGAAGAAAAAGAAGTCTTCAAAACAGGTTAGTAAAGTTAACCAATGGCAAAATGAAACATTTTGGGTGCAAGATGGAGGTCGAGTCATGAAACCATATTGTTTCGGTAGCATGCTAAATATTTTTTTTTGAATGATGCAAATGAGTAATTACAGAACTTAAAAAAATTGTTATATTATACACTCATTGGTTAATAAATTGTTTAAGTCATTAATATTTGTCCACATTTTCTCTAACCATCTTGGATAATCAAGGTATGACGTTTTCATACTGACTGAAAATCGAACTAGTGAGGAAGTATCTTTTTTAACATCATTACTAGTATTTGAGCTATTATGTTCACCACCACAAGTGATCCCATTGGTATAGTCTCTGACTCTTTTGTGGAAGGCAGTAGGCATTTGGTGTCAAATGGTAGGTGGTGACATTTTGCATGTTAATACCTTGTTTTTACCTGTTTTCAACACATTGGAGGGCACCCTGATATGTTGACTAACCGTATCTCCTTTATTTCAGTCCAAATCATCAAAGAAACCTCTACCCGTAAAGCAGAGATCACCCTCCCCCTCACCCCCCAAGCGAGTGCACCAGGGGGTGGGTGGATCACAACTACCCCCCAGGTCAATCCTGAAGGGCACAAACACACAAAACCCAGCCAACCAGTTTGGCTTCTTCAATAAATATGTGCCACGTGCTGGAAGTACATACTATAAAGATTTGGCTGGCAATGTTAAACAGGTATATAATATTTTGTTTTACATTTAGAATAAAGATAAAGGAGAGGTTTTGCACAACAGGTTTTAGCTACATTGGAACCGCAAGTGCACCTCCTTTTAAATGAACTACTATGCATAAATCTGGTGAATGCGTTACAGATTTTAGATACACGGTACGTTGTGCTAAAAACATTGTGTGGAACCTCTCTATTATGTTGATAATAGGACACTAAGTGCAGCAACAGACAAAAACTGAAGAATCAGATAAACTGTATAATATGCAGTTTGCAGTTTAGATATTACCCTTCACCCATTGGGATATTGGATGTTTAGATCAGTTTTGAACATTGCTTTGTTAAAATCATTAAGAGTAGATTTTTATATAGTCAGTTGTTAGTCATTTGTACAGATATCCAAATCTACATCAGCATGTTTTCTATCTTATTTATCTAGTATTGTGATATGGTGTCTTGTATTTTCAGGGTCCCATGGGATTTGCACCTATATGTAACTGTGGTCCAGTCCTTAAGAAACTAGACCAGAAGATTGAATCTGGTAAGCACAATATGTACGACCACGTTGACGCTATGCATCAGACACTTGATACCCGAATTGACCAATTAGAGCGCAGAACAGCTCAACAGGTGTACGCCATAGATAAACTCACTAAAGAGCGTGTAGAGAATACATCGAGTGAATGTATGCGTCATATTGACACACAAGTGAAGCAAACAAAACGAGATACTCACCGCATGATCGAACAACAAGCCAATCATATCAGCTCAGATTTGAAATCGTGGGCAGAGCAGCGATTTAACCGCACAGACAATAATGGTCACAATCACACGTGTGACTTTTACGATCCAACTAATGTCCCACATAGTGAAACATTCCATGATGGCTTCGCTGGAGTAGATGCTAATGACGATGTTCCAATGCCAGGAAAACTAGTGAGGTCAAGGTCAGATGAAAGCCTTTCCGCTAGCGGATCAAAATATAAGTATAAGCTACACAAGAAATGGGCGCGTGATGATGCACCATTAGGTGCAATAGCTAGACAATTTAAAGAGATGAGAATTCAACAACAACAACAAAATAACAACAACATTCATCCTCATCAACCTTTGTTACATAATGGACATCACCAAGGTTACGGGGGTTCAGGCTTCAATGTAAACAACCTATACCGCAATAACTCCACCCCTAACCAGTTTGCTCCGCCCATGAAAGCCAATGCCCCTCCCCCACAGAACAATCAATACAACAAGCAATACAGGACACAAGATGTCCATATAAATAGACAAGAAAACCAATTTAATAGTAATCAAAATAACCAGATTAGAAACTATGAAAATCAGATGCGATCAAATGATCATATGGGTACATACAGGAGTAACTCACTAGGCAGAGACAGACAATACTCACAACAACAACAAGCTCAGCCAATCCAACAGGACTCAAGAATCCCTAGAACACCAACAAAGCAAACAATTCCAGCAATGCAATTGGATAACCGAAATGCAGGTACCAGTATGCCCTCCCCTCATAATAAGCCCTCTTCATACAGGCAGACACGTCCAAACACATATCATGATAATCGAACGGAGAGGGAGCAGCTTCGAGTGCATGATCAACCCACTCAGCGTGGTCAGGGGGTGCCTCAAAGGCAACCAGTCACCAATCAGATGGGGTTTGAATTGGAGCATGATTTACCATTTGACACAGACCATCTCCCTCCCAGGGCTGTTGACTACCACAGCCAGTTTGACTTGGATAAACGAAACAGAGAGCTTGCTGAGCCAACCATCCATGAAACCTACGCTCAGAGCTTGAGTAAATCAACACCAAACTTGGACTTATCTCTGAACTCTCCAGTAAAGGAGGTAGGACCCATTGTGCCTTATAGTCCTAATGTACAGGTCATTCGCAGACCCAGCTATAACACCCCCAATAACCTCTCCCCAAATGATTCTCTCTCTCCCACTACTCTCCAACACATTAGGAACTTTAACAGTACAAGCCGATCCAAAACCGACACAGGGAGCAATCCAGATTCTGGATACAGCAGCAAGAAATATGGCGCCCAAGGTTTGTTCCGCGCATCACCAGCACGTGGTTGTGACATCAGCAGTAGCGAGGCCCATAATACAACAAACAGCTCCATCTATACGACTCCTAGTATGTCCAGCTCCCAAAGTTCACCAATTACCATCTCCAACACTTCGGGGGAGACAAACGATTCAGCGTACCAAGGTCAACAGGACAACCGTAAATATTTCAACAGTCTTGTCTCGAATGAGATGGGAAAATGGTATGAAAGACGTCAGCGTAGATCTGACCAATTACAGCAGGCTATCACTCCTGATACGAGTCATGTAATTTTACGAGAGGATAGAGTATCACACGCAACTGATGTGTAGTTACATTGTGTAACTGATGTGTAGTTACATTGTGTAACTGATGTGTAGTTACATTGTGTAACTGATGTGTAGTTGACTTACTGTACTTCTTCTTATTTTGGTGGATTTTCTGTTTTGAACATTTGGCGGCTACTTAATTTGGGGACTTGCAATATTATAATGGTACTAAAATTACCGGGTAATTTTGCAGCAACTTAATTTGGCAAACTTAAACAATTTTGGCCGCCAAATTAAAAAGGCTGCCAAATTCAGTAGAAGTACAAAAAATGATGTTACAGATCTATCGCAGTTACTTGATGTTTTAGTTGATATTACTGTAAAACAATATTCAATCAAATGTTTCACTTCCATATAACTTTAAATGTTGTATTGAATCAGATGATATTTTTATCTCTAACTATTTTGGATATTTACTGTTCTAATGTAACATATCAATTTTACATGTTTCATATCGATAGCATTGTCTATTTTGACCAATGGCTGAAATCTGTTTCAAATATACAATGTCATGATGACTATGTATTTTAGTGTATTTTATAATGACAGTTTTCAACTTTTATGCAACTTGAATGACTTGAATACATGTTTTCATATGAACACATTTACACAAAATAATTTTATATGCAATTTTACAAATGTTTGCTTTTATGGACGACATAAGGACAAAATGTATATACAATCATATTAGAAATTAAAATCTTCCATTTGAAGTTTGTTGACTACATTTGTATTAAAATCTTGTGAGATGTAAAAACGATTAATTAAATAATCCCACAAAGAGCAGGAAACAAAAACGAATATACAAAAATGACATGTGCAGTGTCCAAATTTTGACGGCTGTGTTTGTTCGGCAGTTTGCTTGAAAAACAACATCTTTCACAAATGAAATCATCATTCAGCTCCCGCCTCTTATCATATTAACTCTGTTTCAAAATTGTTGACAATTAGACACTATTCACCTTCAACAATATTCTCATAACACCAGTGTAAAATGGTAGAAGGTCCTATCAAATTATGGTCCTACTCTCCATTGATTTATATGGTGACCTAAATACAACTCTTTCCCTCATTATCTTATACACAATCAGGGCCAGTAAGGACCGTTAAGAAAGGGGACCATAATCCCTGGCGGATCATCATTTCTTTCACACCAGCCTACAAAATCAAGAAAATTTTATTCATTCTTTGAGATATGGAAATGTGGTTGAGTTAAGTATTTAGAGGTTGATATATTTTGATCAGTTGCTGGTACAAGTTTTAGTGTTATACATATTGAAATATATACAAAGTTAGCATATTATTATATGTCATATTGACAGCTTGTATTTTATATATGTTCAAATAATATGCACATCTATGTAATATACACTTGTCATTTCCTTATATGTACATTTGTCACCGAGTTATTCATGTGTCACATTGGTAACAATTTTACAGTTTTAGACACTTGTCATTTCCTTATATGTACATTTGTCACCGAGTTATTCATGTGTCACATTGGTACCAATTTTATACACTTGTCATTTCCTTATATGTACATTTGTCACCGAGTTATTCATGTGTCACATTGGTAACAATTTTATTCACTTGTCATTTCCTTATATGTACATTTGTCACCAAGTTATTCATGTGTCACATTGGTAACAATTTAGTACCACTAGTAGTAGATATTGTGAATATTTAATTTATTGTAACATTGTGTTAATATATTGTATATAAAAAATGAAGTAGTTAAGAAGTTAACAAAAGCAATACATATCAATACAGACAGAACATCTTATTATTCATGTACAGTGTATGTACATATCAGAACATATCAGAAATATGTACCTTACCTTATAAAGCGAATTTATTAGGTCATTTTGAACAGGGCATGAATAGAAAAGTATTTCCCAAGTTATAAGTAGTCCATGTGGTTTCTGCACATTGTGCAATTTGCAAATGTGGGCAACTTTATCATTTCATTTCCATGTCACCATTTTGTGACCAATGTTTCGAGTTCAGCAAGAGGGGGAGAAACCCCAGGGTTCAAAGATGACATACGCTTATAATGTAAATCTGTATTGAGATGACATCGTCGCTGATTGGTTTAGCGAATCGAACGTTGATTGGTTTAAAACTAGGTCAATTTGAAAACTTTGAAAACCAAGATGGGGGGTAAGTACTTCCGGGAAAGGAGGTGCGCGAAGGAGGAAATCGTATGTCATCAATTGAATCATGGGGTTTTCCCTCCTCTTGAGTTCAGCATCAGTATTCAGAAACTGTAACAAAATGTGACACTTTTGTAACCATTTGCAATAGCTCACAAGGTGGTTACATTCTGTCATGTTCATAAATACCTTGTTTTGTAAAGCTTTGACTTGCATTACTGAAGTGAGAGAGGTTAGTGTGCGGTCAAAGTTTTTCTTTAAATAACTGGACTCATAAAAAACGACTCACATGTATATTGATTGCAATGGCAATAATTGCATTTGTTGCCATATAATTATGTCACCACCAGAAGTGTGGACTTATTTTTTGTTATAATCTCCTAACTTTTTGTGGATAGTGTTCGGCAGTTGATGTTCAGGGTTCGGCATCTGTAACAAATCGTACAACTTCCAGTTACTAGTGGTGACATTTTGTCATGTTGATGCCTCCTTATAATTATGTTGGTAAATAGTACATGTATGTTCACTGGTTGCCATGATGAATGTAAGGTTGCCATAGTAACTCGTTTTAATTTGCCATATGTCATAATATGTCACATTGGTTACCATTGTCACATTGGTTACCATTGTCACATTGGTTACCATTGTAAGTAATGATCTGTTTGACAACTATAGCATCCATTGTCCTGGCAACTGTTGAAATTGTTGTTATGACAACTACAGGGTACACAAACCTGATATTATCCAAGAAGAATCATTCCAATTCATCCAATGCTAATAAATTGTAAAACACTCTTGGTTGGTGTTCACTACAGAGAGGATAATTTATACAGAAGCCAGTAGAGTAAATGCAGAGAAAGGTTCCAAGGGTGTCCACTAGACACAGGTGTTCCTAAGAGAGAGGTGTTCACTAAGACAAGTTTTACTGTATGTTCTTTTAGAATCTGCTTCATATAATTATAAGTGGAATTTGTGTCATTCCATTCAAAGTTAAGATAAGGTGATATGAAAATGATTGAATCATTCCAATATAAGCAGTCCAGTGAACAATGACGATAAGACAGTGAATGGGGAGGGGGGAGGCCCTCCAAATTGAGACACTTGGCTATGTACTAAATGTCAAATATGCTTAATTAATATTTGTTTATGCAAGAAAAGCAACTAATTCATAACAGCTGTAAAACCAGCTGATCTTTCATGAATACTCGAGCATTGATATTTTTATATTCAACTCTCTGTTTTCAAGTTCTTAATTATTTTGTATTTCACGGAATATTTTGTAAATATCCACTTTAGTCTGTGGAGCAATATTAGAAATTAGGGTGGAATATTTTTCTATAATAAAACTAGAATTTCATAATAAATAAATTTATTTGATAGTTGTGTTTATATTTTGAAGTGTGAGTAATGTATGTTATACTTATATATTGTCATTGAATCGAATGCATCATGGCGGACATAAACAGACAATTATAGACCAGTGATCTCCCCAGCATTAAAGCAAGTGGGCGCAGTACCCACCTGATATTTTGAAAATATGCTTGCTCCCACCTGGAAATCCATTTGCACCCACTTGAAAATGAGAAAAAATAATGAAAAATGGTCATATTTTAACCAATTATGAAAATGAGAATTTTGCACCCATTTTAGAAAAAATCCTGTGGAGGTCACTGTAGATGTATGATTGTATGTCACCTACTGTTACCGTTGACTGATCTATATTTTACCCTTTTATGTGACACAACTTAAAGCTTATAACATTGTTTAAAATGTACTTGTTCAAAGTTGGACATCTCATTTGACTATTCAAGACGAGAGCTAGCAACGGACCTTGTAGAATAGTGACTTTGACAACATGCTGGTGGAGAGAGTAACAAATTTTGTGAACAATCTTCACAAATTGTTCAAGCGGTCCCCTTGCAATCCAAGTTTCATTTTCTTTAATTTGATTGTTTCCTGGTTATAAATGTATCTTGATATTTTATGTTCGAGATTATCCTATTTCTTGCAACTTAGTTTTCAAGGACAACTTGGCTACATGATTCATCCTTCTTCAAAGGACTTCATTTATGCTTGTAAAA